GTTTTGATGTTTTTATGTTAAAATGGTTCCGAACACTAAGCTTTTGGAAGGATTTCGTCTTGCGCGCGCGAATGTCCACTTTACCTTATTTTTTGCAAGGGATTCTTGAAATTTGATTATATTAGAACAAGAAATGTCATTTATAGTGTTTTTTGCAAGGGAAAACGGATTACAACAAAACAACCGGATCCGGTACTAATCCACTTTTCTGAAGCTTTCGCGAAAAAATGATGAAAATGTAGCTGCGGCCTAGGTTTTGGAGGGGGGTCGCGCACCAGGGGTCCCAACAATAATTATTCTTAGAAGTAATAATGTTCAACAACACAATCATTTAAGACCGTCCCCTTATCTGCCTCGAGTGTCGAATAAAACGCGAATTGTCCCAAACCCTCGATACCCGCCCTCTTCGTCTTCGATCGAACCCCTTTTGGGAGGTATACCTTTCTTCCCTGCAGGCCGGGCCCCGGCAAGCGGCGGGGCGGCCGCGGACCGTCGGCCTGGCCAGCGGCAGCGCTGATCGGCGGGGCGGCCGCGGACCGTAGACCCGACCCCAAGAGGGACGGACAGGGGACCGACCACGACGACGACGACGTCGACGACGACGGCAACGACGGCGACGGCGACGGCGACGACGACGACGAGCGAAAGCGAGAGCGAGAGAGAACGACAGCAGAGCCACGAAGGACACGAAGTAGGCCACGAAGGGCGATAGCGGGACACGAAGGGAATGCGTTTGGGGCCACGAAGAGCGCGAACGAGCGTGGGCCACGAAGGGCAGATAATGCGGGGCCACCGAAGGCAACGATGGGGCCACTGAGGGTAGCACCTGGGCCACGTAGGACAATGAGGGGGCCACAAACGGCGACAGCGGGGCCACGAAGGGCATGCACATGGGGCCACAACGGGCGCGAACGAGCGGGGGCCACGAAGGGCATACGTATGTTGGGCCGCGGAGGGTACGGACGGGGCCACTGAGGGCAGCAACGGGGACACGAAGGGCAGCGAGGGGGCCACGAAGGGCAACGAGGAGGCCACGAGGGGCTGCAACGGGGCCACGAAACAAAGCGAGGGGGCCACGAAGGGCTGCAACGGGGCCACGAAGGGCAGCGATGGGGGCCACGAAAGGCTGCAACAGGGCCACGAAGGGCTGCAACGGGGCCACGAAGGGCAGCGAGGGGGCTACGAAGGGCTGCAACGGGGCCACGAAACAAAGCGAGGGGGCCACGAAGGGCTGCAACGGGGCCACGAAGGGCAACGAGGAGGCCACGAGGGGCTGCAACGGGGCCACGAACCAAAGCGAGGGGGCCACGAAGGGCTGCAACGGGGCCACGAAACAAACCGAGGGGGCCACGGAGGGCTGCAACGGGGCCACGAAGGGCAGCGAGATCCCGATTCCTATGTAATCTGTGAAGGAGTCCTATGCGTGAGCGCGACTCCTGGGTGCCTGGGTGTCGGGAGCGCGGCGCTGGAGTAAATTGCAAGAAATTCCAACGCAAGGGCGCGATTCTTCAGTAAATTGCAAGTCTCCAGCGAGAGCGCGACTCCAGAGCGCAGGAGGAGCGATTCCTGAATACATCGTAAGGACGTCCCAAGCGAGGGCGCGATTCTTGAATAAAATGCGAGGAAGTCTCGGGCGAGAGCGGGGGTCCTGGCTAAATTGTAAGGAAGTCTCAGGCGGGAGCCGTTGTTGTTGTAACCCGGGGGCCAGGGGGCCAAGTTGAGCAGGAAGACTTTCCTGAGCAAAAAACAAGGTGCGAGCCCCGGGGGGGTACTTCAATTGACAAAATCAATGTGCACCGGTGGGGGGGATCAACCATACTTATTCTGTAACAATGAGAGTTCAACAACAACAACAACAACAGCAGCAGCAACAACAACAACACCAACAACAACACCAACACCAACACCAACAACACCAACAATAACAACACCAAAAACAACAATTACCACAACAACAACAACAACAACACCAACAACATCAACAACATCAACAACAACAACAATAACAACAACAACAACAACAACAACAACAACCACAACAACAACAACAGCAACAACAACAACAACAACAGCAGCAACAACAACACCAACAACAACACCAACACCAACACCAACAACACCAACAATAACAACACCAAAAACAACAACCACCACAACAACAACAACAACAACAACAATCATTTAAGACTGGGGACACTCCGTTCTCACCAGTGCCAGGGTTTTCATAGGAGGCGGGCAATACCCCCACTTTGGGGGGGGGCCGGTTCAAGCTCTACCAAATTTCCATACGACTCTTCGCCACCACCCACACCCAGCTTCCCGCCCTATGACGTTCGGACACTTCACTTCGTGGCATGCGGACGACCGTGGCTACTATCAGGGCCCCGCGGCCGACGACGACGGCGTGCGCGCGCGAAGAAAAAACGAATGTGTCCCGCATGGTATTATTTGACAGGGATGATGGCCCTGGCAGGTGCGCAACCGTTGTTGCAGAAGTTCGAAAAAGTTGCTCGCAAAAGCCAGTTTGACAGAAATGTTTAAAAAGTGTTGGGTTTCCTACGAATCCGCAAGAGCGCGCGGGATGAGATTTTGACAATTTTTTGTTGAAAAACCATTGGTTTTTTGATGATTTTATGTTAAAATCGCTGCGAACACTAAGGTTTTGGAAGGATTTCGTCTTGCGCGCGCGAATGTCCACTTTACCTTATTTTTTGCAAGGGATTCTTGAAATTTGATTATATTAGAACAAGAAATGTCATTGTATAGTGTTTTCTGCAAGGGAAAACGGATTACAACAAAACAACCGGATCTGGACCCCATCCACTTTTCTGAAGCTTTCGCGAAAAAATGATGAAAATGTAGCTGCGGCCTAGGCGCGGCGGGGGGGCCGTGCACCAGGGGTCCCAACAATAATTATTCTTTAGAATTAATAATGTTCAACAACAACAACAACAACAACACCAACAACATCAACAACATCAACAACAACAACAACAATAACAACAACAACAACAACAACAACAACCACAACAACAACAACAACAGCAACAACAACAACAACAACAACAACAACAACAACACCAACACCAACACCAACACCAACAACAACAACAACAACAGCAGCAGCAGCAGCAACAACAACACTCACAACAACAACAACAACAACAACACCAACAACAACAACAACAACAACAACAACAACAACAACAACAACAACAACAACTACAACAACAACAACAACAACTACAACAAACATACACACCACTCCCAGGATTCCCCATCTCTTCCCGTATGTCTTGGGTTGCCGAATTCCCCCCAAACCTTCCCCTATGTTCCCATATTTCCAGGGGGGTCGACGATGATTTGTGTCTGCGCGTTTGTCCCCTCCTGAAACTTGGCCCCCAAGAGGTCTGGACCCTTCCTGGGGGTTGGTTCCTCAAGGAGCCAACCCCCGCGACGGCCCTGGTGCCCCGTGACGGGCCCCCAGCAAGCACACGGCTGCCGATAGCCTTCCGACGCGGCCTCTCCACGATGCGCGGAGGTCGAGCTCTCGCGCCCACGCTCGGGTCCCCGGCGGCCGAGCGGGACGATCGGGGAGGAGGAGGAGGAGGAGGAGGAGGAGGAGGAGGAGGAGGAGGAGGAGGAGGAGGAGGAGGGCACCCTCCCGAACGCGCGTGGCAAGGCGCAGCTGCCGAGGCTGGAAAACCTCCAATAAGCGACGAGAACGTCCGACACGGCCTCCGACAGCCGCAGCTTCCGGGCGACGAGGGGGGCGACCAGCCCAGGGAAGAGTAACACCTTGTATCCAGGGGCGCCGATGGCCCCTGCCTTCGGCGAGGCTCCCGGGCGAATACGTGCCATGCCCGCCCCTGGGCTACAAACGGACCTAGGCCCACCAGGAGACCTTCCGCCGGCCAAGACACACACACACACTCAAAAACATCCAGGGGCCCCCCCACCCAGGATGTACAAAAACACCCAACAAGCACGAAGGACATCAGTGATTTACCCCAAAAGGACCCCCAACCCTTTGGAAGAGACCTAATATGAAGTCTTTCCTGCAGGTGTGTCCAACCAAACCGCCCAGATGTCCCACCCCTAATGCGAAGACGGGGACCTCAGCGAGGCTACGTCTTCATCGTGTTATGAGGGGTAGGGGCTCTTCTCTCCTCCATGGATCGGGGTACACGGTTTCCCCCCGGGCCGTAGGCGACAAGAAGAGGAGGAGGTGGAGGAGGAGGAGGAGGTGGAGGAGGAGGAGGAGGTTGGAGGAGGGGGAGGGGGAGGAGCGGGGCAGGAGAGTGAGGAACGACGACGAGGAGGGAGGAGGAGGAGGAGGAGGGAGGAGGAGGAGGAGGAGGAGGAGGATGGGGCGAGGAGGGAGGGGGAGGAGGATGAGGAGGAGGAGGAGGAGGAGGAGGAGGAGAGGAGGAGGAGGAGGAGGAGGAGGAAGGAGGAGGAGGAGAGGAGGAGAGGAGGGTAGGAGGAGGAGGAGGAGGAGGAGGAGGAGGAGGAGGAGGGGAGAGGAGGAGGAGGAGGAGGAGGAGGAGGAGTGAGGAGGAGGAGGAGGAGGAGGAGGAGGAGGAGGGAGGGAGGAGGGAGGAAGAAGGAAGAGGGAGGAGGAGGAGGACGAGGAGGAGGAGGAGGACGTGGAGGAGGGGTACGTGGAGGAGGTGATGAGGAGAGGAAGAGGGGGGAGAGGAGGAGGAGGTGGGAGGGGAGGAGGAGGAGGAGGAGAGGAGGAAGAGGAGGAGGAGGCGAGGAGGAGGAGAGGAGGCGGAGGGAGGAAAGGGAGAAGGAGGACGTCCGCCTAAGCCCTTCGGAGAGAACCCTCCAGATCGAGGTGCCCTCCCCGCGCCGACCCCGATCGCATTGCCTCAAACCCGACGGCCCCCGCCCCCGCCGTCGCGCCCTCGCAGGGCGGCGCGGCGCAACCCCCGCGCGCGAGGGCCGCGCGGGCGCACTTCGTGGGGATCTCGCTGAAGATCCGGTCCACGGTGCGGCGCGAGAGGGCGTGCCTGCGCCCGGGGGTCGGGGGGCCAATCCTCCTCCCCTCCCTCCCTCCTCCTCCCCTCCTCCTCCTTTCCTCCTTCCTCCTCCGCCTCCTCCTCCCCCTCCCCTCCTCCTCCTCCCTCCTCCTCCTCCTCCTCCTCCTCCTCCTCCTGCACCTCCTCCCTCCTCCTCCTCCTCCTCCTCCTCCTCCTCCTCCTCCTCTCCTCCTTCTCCTCCTCCTCCTCCCCTCGGGTGCAAAGGAATCAACCAGCGACATACAGTAGGGGCCCGTCCACAAGAAAAAACCTTCCACAGGAAGCCCAACCCTGGGACCCCAGGGCGTCCCTTGGTTTCTGGTGAGGGAGCGTCGGGCTCGCCATCGAAAAGCCATGGAGACCCAAGAGACCCAGGGCACCCTGGAGGCAAGCAGCGTGTTTCGTGGCATGGGCCCCCACTGTATTTTTTCCTGGCGACGGCTCAAGCCACTGCGACTTCTGCTGCGGACTGAAACTGCCAGCCCGGCCCCAAGTCTGATGGATCTCAATCAAACGCTGTGGGATTGGACTCCAAAATCTTCGGCTGCGTCGGGACTCCAACATGGTCCAGGCTGGCCACTCTCCACTCTCCAGCTCCACTCTCCCCCCCCTGTTCTCTTTCTCGGTCAAGACTCAAAGTGCTGTACGTTTTCGTATGTGGCAGCTTGCCGTTCGAGTTGTCTCTCGTCTGATATGTTCCTCGTGGGGGGCCGCCTGGGACTGCTGCTCCACCGTGGCGCAACGGGCGTCCCCCCCCCACAAAGACTCGTCTGCTTGTCTGGGGAGGGGCGACAGCATCTGCCGGACGGGCCGGTGAGACATGCGAGGCATGAGGCGCCTGGCCCCACATCTGCTCCACAAATACTGAGCAAAGGCAACCAAACACAGCCAACATAGATCGCAGACCACGCCCCACTAGCTGCCTACTACAGTTCTTGGGGGGCGAGAAGGGTAGCACCACATGCCGCGCCCGTCCGAAGAGCGAGCAATGCTGGAGGAGCACGGCTTGTGTTGCAGGAGCACGGCCATTGAAAGAACTAGAACCACATGGCACTATACGGCGGCAGATTCCAGCAAGGGAGACGGGGAGGTTACCTTCGCATGTTTCGCTCTTGGCTCCTACTCTCCAATCTTCACCAACACTCAGAATCGTGGCATGCTCCCTCCCAAACTTGTGCCCGTTCGCAACCCCAACGCGCACCCGTCGTACTTGAGAAGATCGTCCTTGTCCAAGAGAAAATCATGGTCGGAATCGAGCTCCCAGAAAGTGCCTGGGCACATGGCGGAAGGAGGACTTCGGAATGAGTGACGGGCAACAGGCGAGGTGAACATAACATTCGCGAACACGAAGAGGAGTGGCAATTCGGATGGAAGAAGAAGCAAGCAAATCACAGAGAAGAGTCGGGGAATGTGAGGACGATAGCGAGATGATACGATGATGATAAGGGGATGGCGCAGAGGGCCGTTAGGGATGATTCCCATAGGGACTGCACCACTCCTGGGCGCGCTGGCACGGCACGAGGACATACGTGCAGCGAGCACAGCAGCACTAATCTCGCGCCACGGACGGGGAAAAAGCGCCCAACGTTAAAACAAAGCGGAGGGTAACTGCAATGGGGGTCGCGTAAGAAAACCTGGGCAACCATGCTGACAGACTCTCTTCTTGCCATCGCTCGGACGTCCATTCCCCGTGCATGTGTCGGCTTCGCGCGTGTATTCTTTCACAAGTTGATCATCGATGCTCCCCGATGGTCCTCGCAAAGAAAAATGCATACGCCCGAGCGATGCCAAGTCCAGGGGTTCACTCGGGACCATCTTGCCTTGTTTGAAATCTCTCGGGGTTCTCTTTGGCTGGTGGAGCTCCTCTCCCTCTGGGACGGCGACGGCCGCCATGGCCCGGTTTCTCGAACTGCCTATGAGATGCGCTACGGCCATTCTGCGTCTGCTTCCTGGGCTCGACTTCTGCTCATGCAGAATGGAACACAATGGGAAGTGATCGCAAAGGGTCCTGAACGCAGAATGCGTAGGCACCGAGGCCGTCCCTTGGATCTGACCCGATTTGTTTTGATGGTCATGGGCACTCCGCTGAAATCTGCTCGGCTCTGCAGCAAGTAACCAAGCAAGCAGACTGGACAGCCTTCGGGCCAGAGAACTCCGAGCGCGCGCTGGGCGAAACACGGCAAGACTAAATACCGTAGAAGATGTGCCTGCAGCTGAATAAGTGGCACGGAACGATCACGCGACCCTTGCCTCCTACTCTGCTCACGGCGCTAGAGTGGAGCCGGGGCTGCATGTGGCAGATGTTGTCACCCTACCATCCGTTCCGCCCGCCCCGAAAGGGACGGGAGAGGGCCCTCTCCTCAGACGTTGCCATTTTTTGTGACGTCGGCCCCTGGTCGGGCACCAGAACATAGTGGGACCTGGTTCAAAGATGTGTGGGCGCCCCCCCCCCGCCCCATTCCACTGACCGGCACTGCCGCCACCCGAAGAAGCACCAGCTATGGCCTTCCTGGTCCAGTGATTCTGGTCGGATACAGCCAGGTCCCCTGACCCAGGGACCTGGCTGTATCCGACCTGTGGCTTCCGACCTCTTTTTGGACGCCCGAAATGGGTACGGAAAAAATAGGCACAATGCAAACAGCAAATGTTGTCCCAAACCAACAGCGGCCGATGTTGGGCAGGCGACCTTCTGTCTCGAATGGAAACACGCCGCGGCGGCGTGGACAGCGAATCCTGCTCAAAATGAGCAAGAACTGCTGTTGGGCATCGTACCCATTCTTTCCGTACCCAGTTCGTTCGTGCCGACTCTTCCCTCAGAAGCCTCCCACACGGGGCCCGAGCAGATGGGGTCGGCGGATCGCGCCGCGGCGAAGCATCGGCGCTGTCGGCGATGCATCGGCGACGTCGGCGCGGAGGAAATCGGGCTCCGCAGCGAGCCGCATCGCTCGTGCATCGGCGGTGCGGCGCGACCCTCCGACCCTGGAGGCCTATAGATCCCTGGGGCAGGCCTTCCATTCCAAGCGGCTTCTCATCGACCCCTGGGGCCGGGAAGCGGCCTCGGGGAGCCGGAGGACGACGACGAAGCACCTGCCGCCTCACTCGTGCCCACGACGCCCAGAGGTTGGCACCAACACCAACATCGGCGGGTGCCTCCACCGAGGGAAGATGATCTGGGTCTCGGTGATAGTGGTACTATACTCGGGATGCTTATGTTGTGGCCGAAGGACCACCACCAGCACCACAATCTAGGAGCACCTTCCCCCGGTGGAGGCGCTCCCCTGTGTTGTTGTTGGTGCCAATCTCCAGACCCTAGAGATCAAATGTCTCGATTTTCTCAAAAGGGGGTCCCCAGAAGCTGGACGGGCGCTTCATCCTCAATCGTTGCTTCATGGCCCCGGGGCCCAGCGAGGGCCTCCAGAGGCCGAAAGCGTTAAAACACACAATGCTGTTTTGCAATAAGCTTGATATCTGGGGCCTCCAATTAGAGGCCTCCTAGATGGATGGGGTCGGAGTAGATGGGGTCGGAGGATCGCGCAGCATCGACGACGTCGGCGATGCATCGACGACGTCGGCGTGGGAAAACACGGGCTCAAAATCGAGCCGCAACGTCGATGCATCGGCGATGCGGCGCGATCCTCCGACCCCATCTACTCGGACCCCATCTAGGAGGCCTAGACTCCAACGCCCGTGTCTGAGAGGGAGCGCAGTAGATCACGTAGAACTGCTCGTAGCTGAAGTACTCGCGCACCATCTTGATGTCATCGTTCTCCTGCGGCGTCGTCGTCGTCCTCTTCGCCGCCGCCGCCGCCGCCGTCGCAGCGCAGCCGCCGTCGCCGCCGTCGCCGCCCAGCCGCCGTCGTCGTCGCCGTCGCCGCCCCGTCGCCGTCGTCCTCCCGCGGCACGCCCGCAGAACGCTCGAGACGCGACTTCCGGGCGTGCTCCGGCCTTCTGCTCTCGCCGTCTTCGCCTCCGTCGCCGCCGCCGTTGCCGCAGGCCGTCGCCGTCGCCGTCGCCGCAGGCCGTCGTCGTGCGAGGTCTTCGGGCGGTCGTCGTCGTGCGCCGCTCGTGGGCAGAAAAATAACAAATCCGAATCCGCGGCCTCGCGGGCCGGACCCCTGAGCCGCGACCCCGCGGATACGCGGCGTTTTTTCGCGGATGCCCCGCGCAGAGCGTATCCGTGCGACCGCGTATCTGCGGGATCGAGCCCTGCGATCCAGACCGCGAGGGCCGCGAGGGAGCGGACACGGATACGCTCGCCGCTCGCGAGTCGTCATCCTCCGGCTGCCCCAGACGTCCTGGATCCTGGCTCCCGGATCACGGAGGTCTTCGGGCGCTGACGAAGGCGCCGACACCTCGGAGGTCTCCATATATACACTACACACATGCACGTACATGTTCACATACACATACACATGACTGTACATACGCATATGCATGTCGAATTACCGATACGTGCGCATGCATATACAAATGTGCATAAACATATACACATACACATACACATGCACACACATATCTATACACACATGTGTATATATATATATATATATATGCATATACACATACACGTGCACATGCATACATACATAGAGATCAGTACACACATCCAATATGTACAACAATGTATAACTGTGTGTATGCATATATGTAGATATATGCAAATACATGTGCGTATACACATACGTAAATATAAAACATATAAATATACAAATGTAAGCATACACATACATATACACAATACATAAACATGTACACATAATATACACGAACATCTACATCTTGCGTACACACATAAACATACACATACACATGCATATACACAAGCACATCCGTATGCACATACATCTACATATACACATAGTCACACGCACACATACCTATACATATATATATATAAATATACATAGACAAATGCACTGGCACATACAATCACACAACACCTATACATATATGCATCTGATATATACATATATATTATATATATATATATATATATATATATATATATATATATATATCAACACACACACACACATTTGGCGCTCCGGGCTGATTTCTTGGGTCTGCGCTGGACCCCCCTCCCTGGCGCGCGGAGCGCGCCAGGGGCTGCGCCGGAGGCGCCGCCAAGGGGGGGCCCAGCGCGGATCCAAGAAATCCGCGCGGAGCGCCAAAAACTTTATGCTTATGCCGCTACTCCCTCTTCGACTCCAGGCGTGCTCGGGCGCGCCCCCCCAGACCCCCGCCGCCGTGATTTGTTCACAACGTCGACCCCCAGAGGCCTGGACCCTTTCCCCGGGACTGGTTTTTCATCCTGAGAGTCGGTTTTTGTCGGTCCCGAGGCCCGGCGAGGGCCCCCGGAGGCCGAAGATAGCAAAAAACCTGCCGTCGTGACTTCTTGTCGCGACGTGAGGGGGGTCTGGGCCTGGAGCCCCCCCCGCCTCGAGGGCCTCGAGGGCCGCCCTCCCGCGGCCGTGCCTCGTCGCCCAGGGCGCCCCCGCCGAGTGCCCCGAGCAGGGGCCGCCGCTCGCGCCGAGCCGAGCGCCGCCCGAGGCGGCGGGGAGAGCCGCCGGCGCGGCCCGAAGGCCCGGACACCCCCCCGTTCGTTAGCTGCGAGGCAGGCGCGGCGGATGGCTGCTGCCCAAACTCCTCCTCCTCCTCCGCCTCCTCCTCTTCCACCTCCTCCTCCTCCGCCTCCTCTTCCGCCTCCGCCTCCGCCTCCGCCTCTTCCGCTTCCTCCTCCTCCTCCTCCGCCTCCGCCTCCGCCTCCTCCTCCTCCTCCTCCTCCTCCTCCTCCTCCTCCTCCTCCTCCTCCTCCTCCTCCTCCTCTATCTCCATCTCCTCCTCCGCCTCCGCCTCCGCCTCCTCCTCCGCCTCTCCTCCTCCTCTCCTCTCCTCTCTCCTCCTCCTCCTCCGCCTCCTCCGCCTCCTCCGCCTCCTCCTCCTCCTCCTCCTCCGCCTCGTCCGCCTCCTCCTCCTCCTCCACCTCCTCTTCCGCCTCCTCCTCCTCCGCCTCCTCCTCCTCCTCCGCCTCCTCCTCCGCCTCCTCCTCCTCCTCCTCCTCCTCCGCCTCCTCCGCCTCCGTCTCCTCCTCTCTCGTCCGCCGCCTCCTCCTCTCCTCCTCCTCCTCCTCCGCCTCCTCCTCCTCCGCCTCCTCCTCCTCGTCCTCCTCCTCCTCCTCCAGCCTCCTCCTCCAGCCTCCTCCGCTGCTGCGAGGCAGGCGCGGCGGACGGCTGCTGCCCAAACTAAGGAGCCCACAAAGGACGTACGCGCGCAACCACGTACATGAACACGGCCCCCCAGTCCACGAGACCAGCCGCGTGATGTGAGCGTTCGCGCCAAACGTACTCTCGAAACCAACGCGGAGTCATGCACGTGTGCGTCCTCCTTTCGCTCCTGACCCGACGCCGAGGCGCGGCCCGAAGGCCCGGCCCCCCCCCGTCGCTGCGAGACAGGCGCGGCGGATGGCTGCTGCCCAAACCTGCGAGGTCCTGATTCTTGTCAACCCAGACCCCCTCGAGTCGTGAAAAAAACGCGACTGGAGGTTTTTCACTATTCGCGGCCTCTGGGGGCCCTCACCGGGCCTCGGGACCGTCAAGCAACGACTCAGGACGAGAAACCGGTCCCGGGGAATGAGTCGAGAACTCTGGTGGTCGACATTATGAAAAAATCATGACGTCGGGGGCCTGGGACTGCATCGGCGATGCGTAGAAAAAATCAGGACGGGAGGTTTCGCGCCGTGCCGGGCCTCTCGGGGCCCTCGCCGGGCCCCGAGACCGTCCCAGAAACCACTCGGGACGAAACGCCGGCCCACGGGGGAAGGGTCGGGACTTTTGGGGGACAGCGTATTGAAACAAGAACAGGACGTCGCATGTCCGAGTGGATGGGGTCGGAGGATCGCGCCGCTTCGCCGAGGCATCGGCGATGCGGCTCGATGTGCAGCCCGATGCCTGCGGCGCCGATGCGTCGCCGATGCCTTGGCGATGCGGCGGAGCGATGCTCCGACACCATCTGCTCGGACCCGGCATGTCGTGCGAAGGCTCTGCGGCCAGTGCCGCCGACCATTCGGCGGCAACTCATGTACAATCTTGTCGGCTCTTGCGAATCGATGCTAGTCGTCGCAAAATCGGCGCAAATCGAAGCTGAACCGGCGCTATCTCATCGAGTCCAGACGCTAATCGACGCTAGTCGACGCTAAAGACGGAACTAAGAGGGTATACCAGGCTCCCATGATTTGCCACCGAAGGACCGCGAAGGGAGACGACGAAGACGACGACGGCGACGACGACGACGACGTTCGCGAGCCCTCGTGTGGGCCCTTGTGGGCCCTGTTGGGCTCGGGGCCCCTCTGGGGACCCTTCCCGGGACCGCCCGCAGGGACCGCCCCACCCCCCCTGGCGGCGAAGGGATCAACGGCCTTCCCTTTCGACCCGATTGGTGTTCCCCCTCTTGCGGCTCCACGGGGCTCTCTTGGGCCGTCTTGGTCCGAGAGGGCAGGAAGGACCAGGATCGACATCGGAATCGCGTCGAATCTTTTGGATTCGGTGTTCAAATCGGCGATCGCCGCATCGGCTCTATCTTTTAAGTCGCATCGGAATCGAACCAGAACCGAACCGACCCCAACGCAGGGTCGGCAGCGTCACGGGCGTGCCTCTGAGGGAAGGGTCCACGACACCCGGGACCCCACCCCACCCCTGGGGGTGTGTGGCGAGGGGGGGGGGTCCGACTCCCCCCTGGACCCCCCCCTCCCGCCCCCGGCTCGTGGAAGGAATCAAAGGGAAGATGCTTCCCTTCGAATCGAGTACGACGTGTGACTTCCGCTTGGCTGGCTCGCACGAGGGCCCAGGGAAAGGGGGTGAGCGGCGACGGCGGCGGCGACGACGACGACGTCGACGCGATGACGACTCGAGCGGAAAAACGTCTCACGCGGTCGGCGGATTTGAGAGGCCTTCAGCTGCGGCTTGCGCACAGACAGCACCCCCACCCTCAGATCGGGGGCGGCCCAGGGAGACGTCATGGCCAGGGCCGTGACAACTCTGAGTATGGTTTAACCGATCCCCATCACCACCACCGTGGGCTGGGCCCCACGGGCCGATTTATCCCCCTAGATGGAGATATAGGCTGCTCTCCCTGGGTTTCGAGGGGTATATCCAGGAATCGGGATGGGGATGGGGCTGGGGATGGGGATCGGTTAAACAATACTGACCCCGGGCTTCACGGAGTCTCTATTTTTGTTTGATGCGTCCCCTGCCCCCCCCTCCCCCCTGGGCCACACCCAGACCCGCGACGCCATGATCTTTCCACAGCGTCCGGCTGCAGCCAGGAACGCCAAAGAAGGAACGAGGATCCACTTTTGGCATCGGGGATCTTCTGACCCGAAAGAACCCAAACCCGGGTCAGTCAGGCCTTTCAGAATCCTGCAAGATCCAGCACACAAACCCGGGTCAATGCGAAGGATCCTGCAAGATCCTGCAGGGTCCTGCACACAAGCCCGGGTCAATGCGATCCTGACCCTGCAAGATCCTGCAAGATCGGGCGCTCTGGCTGACCCCTGTTTGCATTGACCCCCGTCTCGAGGCTCCCGATGGCACCCGAAACCGCAACGCCCGGGAGCACGAGGAGGGCTGGAGGAACGACCACGGAACGACCTGAGGAACAGCGAACCCCTTGCGAGCCCAAAGCGGCCCTCGTCTCAGCGCATTCCCTCTGCGGCTTGCCTGGAGTCGGGCCCGTCCCCCCTACAGGCCTATTCTGGACGAAAAATTAAAGATAGGCAAGAATACCCCCAAGTGACCAAACAACAAAAACGTCCAAAAAATGGTACCAAGACTATGCTTCTTGATTGTGTTCTCAATATTTCCTCCTGTAGAGGGACGGGCCCGACTTAAGGCTTGCCGCTCTCGCGCCGAGGGCTCCCGTGGAGGAGTGCGAGCCGCGCTGGAGGCGCGGGGCCCCCCCACGGGCAGGAGAGCCTCCTCGAGGCGGCCCGTGGTCCCCCGGCTGCCGACCGGCACAAGCCGCAGCCCGTGGCGGGGCTGCGAGGGAAGGAGGTACGAACCGGAGGTCGGGCATGTCCCCCTACGGGCGAATTGTAGACGAAACATAAGCACAAGTACTCAAAACAAATGGTCCCGAACTGGTCAAAAGTAGTCAGAAAAATCGTTCCCAGACTGTTCTTTGCCTACGTTTTTGAATCTTCCCCCTGTCGAGGGACAGGCCCGACTTAACAAACACGAGCCCAGACGTGCACGCGTCGTGCAAAAAGCCAGGACGCAGTCCTCGGCCTCCAGGGGCCCTCGCCAGGACCGAGGCCGTCAGGAGCGGCTCGGGGCGGGAGGCCGGCCTGGGCGAACGGATCGGGGCTTCCGGGGGCCCCTTCTGTAAAAAGTCTGGACGTCTGAAGGGGCCCAGAGACACACAAATAAATACACACAAATCCCAGGATCCCATATTTTCCTATATTTTCTGGGTCTTCGTCTTCCCCCCCACTTCCCATATTTTCCATATTTTCTGGGGGATCGACGATTACTTGGGTCTCTGCGTTTTTCCCCCTTCTGAACGTCGCACGTCTGGGGATGAAGACCCTGGCGCGCCCACATTGGAGCAGCTTCGGCAGCACGCGGCCAGGAGGGAGACGGAAGGGAGGGCTCGCACGCGCAGGGCGCCCTGACTGCTTCCTGCGACCAAGCCATGGCCAGCGGGCAGGGGCGCTTCAACAGAAGACGACGGCTGCGGCCCCGCGGCCTTCGACGACGACGACGACGACGACCGATTGATCGACGACGGACAGCCCGAGAACATCTGTTCTGACCGCCCACTGCCCCAACGAGGCGCTGCGACCCCCCTTTCGTTTCTTCACCGCTCGGCCACACGAACTCTTGTGCACAGCATGCGCCTCGACTGCGCACCTGCCTCCTCAGGCGGGCCGCCGGAGGCGTCGGCGCTGCGGGGGCGGTCGATCCGCGAGCTGCTGCCAGGTGTCCGTCACGTACGGCTTGTACCGACGCAGCGCCATCAGGTATATCCGCCCTCGGCCGCGAGGGCCGCGAGGAGCGAGGCGAGGCGAGGCGCCGGAGCCACATGTGCGTTCCACTGGGAGACTGGTGTGTGAGTGTGTGTGTTTGCCCTCTGGCGCGTGGCGGTCGTTGCCCGGGCCAAAGCCGTCCCCCCCCCAGGATGGCGGCAGCGGTCGTACATAGCGGGCTCCTCCTCCTCCTCCTCCTCCTCCTCCTCCTCCTCCTCCTCCTCCTGCTGCTGCTGCTGCTCCTCCTCCTCCCCCTCCTCCTCCTCCTCCTCCTCCTCCTCCTTCCCTCCTCCTCCTCCTCCTCCTCCTCCTCCTCCTCCTCCTATGCTGGTGCTCGCGCGCCTACTGCGTACTATGTCGCACGGCACCCCGACGCGCCCCAGACTCCCCCCCCGCCCACACAATCGGGGTCCCCGACCCCCAGCCCCTCCCGGGCAGCGGCCGTCACCCCAAGAGTCTGACTGTTCCCTCGTCTTCTCTTCTCAACTTATCCTGCGGTGCCGGGTCCTCGCTCCGAGGAGACAGGCCTGGTCTCCAGTGGGCGTCTTGCTGCACGTGGTCGCGGCCTGCTGCCAGAGCGAGAAGCGCGCCTTGCGGCAGGGGCCACGGCGCGGTGCAGCAGCGGAGGGCCACTGGCGCCCGAGCGGCCACCCCGATGGACTCCTGTGGTGCAGGGGCGGCACCCAAGGCCCAGCGAAGCGCCTGCACGACGTAGGGACTGCATCTTCAGCCTTCAAGGGGTGAGGCGCCAGATGAGCGACGAAACCAAAGGAGTCTTGCGCGAGACGGCGTAGCGACCTTACGCGGTGGCTTTCGCGGGCCGCCAGCGCGTACGCCACAGTGGAAACAAGGGCGCGCACGCGCGACCTTACGCGGGGGGGCTTACGCGCCAATGTTGGCGCAGTTGAGCCCGTTTTCTTCCGTCGCCCAGATGCTTGTCACAGGAGACGTCTGCGCGGACGGCTCCCCGCTGCACGGCAAGCACCGCGCCATCAAACTTGCGCGGGGTGACGTGCCGCCAAAGCCACGGCGTCGGGCCACGTCCTTTGCGGCACGCCTGAGCCTCTGCCGCGGCAGCAAGGGAACCGATCGATGTTCGTGCGGAGCTTCACGCAGGGCGCATGGATACGCAATGGTCCCGCTCACGATTTGGTCAGACTGACAAAAAAAAACCGGTGGCTTCCCCAGGGGGCAAACAATGGTGCACCCGAAACAGCACGTCGGCCGGTGGGCGTGGCATCTCGTGACTGAGCGACAGGGTCCAAAGGTTCAGCAGGGCACAGCTTTGAAGCATGCTTTCTGTAAGTCTTGCGCCTGCTGCGCACGGCAGCGCTGGCATGGCCTCTGCCGAAACGAATGTTCGGAAGCCGGGCAAGGGCTGCTAAATCCGTGGCTGCTAAAATCGACCTCCCGGAAATTGTCTTCGTCCTTCTGGGAAGAAGCCCGTTGACTGTTTCGCGTGCCGCGCCTCATTCCGGGAAGTTGTTTTTTCCTTCTGGGAAGGCCGTTTTAGCAGCCACGGTTTTAGCAGCCCTCGCCCAGCTTTCGAAATGTAAAGGCCTGCGAACGGATGCTAAAGGCCGCTGAACCCGTCTGCAGAACGGACAGCATCTCACCACAGGCAAGCCACCGGGGTGAAGGGGCCCTGAGGCCCTGCAGGGACCCTCACAGACCGCATAAGTAGATAAATTCCAGGTAGGCAATCCCAAGTAATCCCAGCAGGAACTTCAGCGCCAGGTAATCCCAGTAATCCGCCGACCCCTTGTGGGTCTCTAGGCGTGTGAGATCCGTCCTCCCCCAAAAACCGGCAATTTGACATCCCCCCCCCGCGGGGCCCCGGACGGCCCACCCCCGAACTCATCGGGGGCAATCCGGGCTCCGCAGGCTCAGTTTGGTGCTCCACAGGACACCCCGTCAAGCCTCCCAAGACACCCCCAAGACGGTCCCAGAGAGCCCAAGCTCGTCGAATGATCGTTCCAAGATGCCCAAGAAGCCGCGAAGGCACCCCACGAGGCCTTCAAGAGGTCTCCCAGAAGCCCAAAAGAAGCCCAAATCGTCGAATTCCAGTGGGAAAACATACAGTTCTAGCATGTACGACTTTTCGGCCTGCGCGGCGTTGAAGAACATCCAAGAGGCACCCAAAAACCGCCACACGACGGCCCCAAACCCTCCCACGAATCCCCCAAGACGGCCCCAAAGGGTGCCAAGCCGACCACATGCGCCCAAGACGGAGTGCCCCCAGCATGCCCCGGACAAGGCCCCACAGGGGAACCTCGAACCGAAACTGTAGATTTTCCACCCGAAGAGACTCCCACGAAGCCCGAAGAGGCCCCCGAGAGGGCCCAAGAGGCCTTCAGAAGGCACCTAAAAGCCCCCCAAGGCTCCCAAAAGGCCCAAAAGAGGCCCCAAAACGGCCCCCAAGAGCCTTCGAACCTGTCTCCACGAGGCTCGCGCGCTCCCCAGGAGATCCCAACCAATAGCCCTGAGTCTTCATGCCCGTGGTTTCGTGAAAACGGCCTCGGGCCAAAACGTGGCGGGCGCAGGCCTGGAAAATGACGGCCGCAGCGCCCTCTCGAGAACCGAAAACGGACAATTCACTGATCGACGTGTCCGGCTAGGGGTGATGTGCCCCTGTCGCAGGAACTCACTCTCGAAGCAGCCCCTCACTCCTATCCGCATCTGCAGGGGCCACGGGAAGTATCAAGCGTCGTGCCTCCCGAACACGACCCCGAAACCCCGATTAGTCCAAAACATCCTACTCATGAAACCAAATACCGCCGCCGTGAAGGCGTCCACCCCAGTCGGCGATAAAAGCTATACAATAACAAGGGCTCGGCGGAGGTGGCGTAAGCCTACAGAATCATCCTCCTGCCCACTCCTATCTCACTCATCCCCCGCCTCCTGATCCCCCCCATCCTGCTCCTCCTCCCCCTGCTTCTCCTCCTCCTCCTCCCCCTCAACATCCTGCCCATGCCAGTCAAAGAAAGGTTTTGTGAACAAGCCGAAGAAAGAAAGACCCACTCTGGCCAAGAATACTGTTGAGCGGCCCAAGGTCGCCGGAGCAACGTCTCTCGACATCACGCGAATCTGAACAGGCAACAGCAGCAACTGAAACGCCGCAGCTGCGTCGCCGCCGCAGCCGCGGGGGAAGCAGGAAGAAGCCCCTGCCTGAAAAGAGGACGGGTGGGGGAGCCCGCCTTTGTGCTTCCGGGGCTAACATTCAGCATCCCCCCAGCCCGCGCCTCGCGGCTGCCTCGCGCGGGGCGCGGCGACCTCGCGCCCTCGCGGAGCGGGAGGCTGGCTGCTCGCTCTCTCTCTCTCTCTCTCTCTCTCGCTGTTTTACCGCACCAATAGGGAGGGCCTCGTCCTCCTCCTCCTCCTCCTCCTCCTCCTCCTCCTCCTCTCCTCCTCACTCCTCCTCCTCCTCCTCCTCCTCACTCACTCACTCACTCACTCACTCATTCACTCACCCACCCACTCACTCATTCACTCCCTCCCTCCCTCCCTCCCTCCTTCCCTCCCTCCCCCTCCTCTCTCCCTCCCTCCCTCCCTCCCTCCGTCCCTCCGTCCTCCTCCTGCTCCTCCTCCTCACTCTCCTCTCCTCCTCCTCCTCCTCCTCCTCCTCCTCCTCCTCCTCCTCCTCCTCCCCCGAACCGCCCGAGGCCGACCGCGCGCCCGCGGCCGGGGAGGGACGGCTGGGGCGGCCGGCCGACGCCCTTCCGGTCGTAGACGAAGAAGATCCTGCTGATCACCTCGGGCCCCAGGCGGGCGCCCGGACGTGCGGCGCGGCAGACATCAGGCTGGGAAATTGTTTTGTTTTGAAGGGGCCCAGGGACACACACACACACACACACATACATATATTTATATATATACATATGTATTTATAAATATATGTATAGATACAGACATATATACATATATATATATATATATATACATATATATGTATATACACCGCCCTTATTTTTTCTATAGATATATAATATAGAGAGAGAGAGAGAGAGAGAGAAAGCAAATAGGCACAAATCCCAGGATTCCCCACAGCTTCCTATACCTTCTAGGTGTTCGTCGTCCCCCCCACTCCCCACACGTTCCCACAGTTCCCCGGGGTCGAGGATCGGGGCTGGAAGCTGCTCTGCCGTGATCGGCCTCCGGGGGGCCTCACCCTGCCCTGGGCCCGTCCGAGAACGACACTGGAGGAGCAGCCGGCCCCGGGGGCAAGGGTCGGGACTTCCAGGGACCGCGCACTGACTGGTCGGGGTCGGCCAAGAGGGGGGCGTCCGAGAGGGGGGGGGCGCAAATCATGGCCGGCGGCATGTGCGCGGGCCAGGGGGGGGGGGAGCAGGGACGCAATGAAATAAGAAGAGGCGCCATGAAATCTGGGCAGATCTCATGGCCCCCGCCATGATATCCCCCCCCCTAGTCATCCCCCCCCTCTTTGCCGCCCCTGAACTGGGTGCATCGCATGTCTGGGTGCAGCGCAGGCCTGGGTGCGGCAGGTTCGCGCCGCGACGACCCCATGCGTCGTCCCACGAGCGGCGAGCATGTCTATCCAGATGCACTCCCTCGCCGTCTGGATTCCGGGGCGCGGCCCCGCGGATGCGCGGTCGCGCGGATGCGCTCCGCGCGGACCGTCCGCGAAAAGACGCCCGGCATCCGCGGGGCCGCGGCCCGAGGGCCCAGCCCGCGCGGCCGCAGATACGGACACGCTTTCGCCCACAAGCTGCTTGCTGACACCGCGTGGATCCTTCAGCCTTGAAGGATGGGCGACTTCTCACTCGCTGGATCGTTCCATGTTGGCCGATGCTGGGCCAACGCGGAACGCCCGCGCTGAGGTCGCAACCGCGCCGACACGACGTGACACAAACCTACCCTTAGGTCGGGCATGTCCTCCTACAGGCGGATTTTGAACGAAACATTTAAAACACCCCAAACATGCTCAAACATAACCAGAAAATGCCAAACAAAATCGTCCCAGGACTGTATTTTACTATCTTGGAATATTCCCCCTGCAGAGAGACAGGCCCGACTTAAGCCTGCCGCAGCCCAGGGCGCTCAGGCCCGACTTAAGCCTGCCGAACTCACCTGCCGAGCTGGCGTGCCGACCGTCGTTGCCGCAGGGGCCTCTAATGTTAGGTCGGGCCTGTTCCCTACTCAAAGGATGCCCAAACATATTCAATAAAAACAGTCCCCAGACAATGTTTTCACTATTTTCGAATATCCCCCCTGTAGAGGGACATGCCCGACTTGACTCTAAGGAGCTGCCCCCGGACAGACCCGAGACCGGGGCCCTCTTGCAGTGATGGGCCCATCTTTTCCACCACCACTACCACAGGTTGGGACAGGGAGGAGGAGGGGGAGGAGGAGGATGAGGAGGAGGAGGAGCAGGGGGAGGAGGAGGAGGAGGAGGAGGAGGAGAAACAAAGGAAGAAGAAAGAAACATAAAAATGAGGACCTCCTCATCCGCGTTCCTCCCCCGTCCTGCACTTGGCAGCTGTGGTTGAAAACTTGCCCACTGTGCCGGGTCTGGGAGCCAACCGGGATTGTCCCGGGCGGCTCCAGGCTCCGTGCGGGGGCGCGCCCGCTCGGGGGGAGGGGGGGCTGCGGAAGCCAACAGGGGCGCTCGAGGTCTCCAGGGGATCGCCGAAGAGGCTCCCCCCAGGAGCTCCGCGCGGGCCCCAGGCGGACGCTCCTGGGCCAGAGGCCGTCGACAATTTTTAAAAAAGGAAACAAAGCATCCAGGGTTCCTGGATGATTTGAACTATCCAGCCCTTTCGCTCTCAAGAGTGCTCAGAACGGCCAGGGCGGCCTCCAGTATCGTCCCACGACGGTCCAAGAGGGCACCACGAGGCTCTCCAGGAGACAATCTTTCTGCGATTTGCGACAACACCCGAGACCAGCCCCGCCCCCACCCCCTCCCCCCGCCCTGGTCACGTCACAATTCGCGCTGGCGCCGTCCGGGAATGAACGCTCCCAAACGGCGACCCTGCGCGGATCGTGACGTGACCGACCCCCTCCCCCGAGGCCGCGCTGGGGACAAAAAAACACATGACGCCGGGAGTGTCCCTGACGGCATCCCAGACCTCCAAGGCCTCGAGCGTTCCAGTCCCAGCGGCGGTCCCCCTGTCTCAGAAGCCACCTAGACTCGCGCATCGCGCGCGACGCGCGGTTACCCTCGCGCCGCCGCGCCGGAGAAGGACGCCTCTCCAACCCAGGCCGCGATGCGGGAAGCGCGACTGCCCTCGCGCCCCTGGGGGCAACCCAGGTTTCAACACCCGGGAACCCGTTGCCACTGTCGGCCCCAGGGGCATCAAGAGCAGAAGGACATCGAAACGAAACCGGCCCACGGAATCGCCAAAGGAGGTCGCGCCCTGCCGAGAGGCCCAGGGGCCACGCACTCGAAACAAGAGCGCGACGGCGGAGGTCTGTGGCGGCGGCGCGCCAGAAAAGGGCGGGGCGATGGGGGGGGGCAGCCTCATCAGGCGGCACCGGGCTTCCTGGAAGGGATCGGTCCTTTGACGGAGGCTCCGTAAGGGAGCTGCTCAGCAAGCAGGAAGGCGTCTGCAACTCTCGCAGCAATGAACGGCACGAGTCCGAGAAAAGCGGCAAGTGGTGGCCAACCCCTCTTGCGCAGCGGGAAACTTGCCCCCAGCATCCAAGAGTGGCCAATGCGTCCGTCAACTCTGAAGGGGCCGTTCTGCTCAGTTGTTATTCAGCATGCCCTGGACGTGTTTGACAGTTTCGAATGTGGCATGTTGGAAATCATGTTCTACGCGTTACAAGCCCCAACGACAAATTCAAACGTGCTCAAAAAAACACACATCATTTATGTTTGCGCTTTGGACTCCGCTGCTTTCTCGGCTTCAAATCACTTGATGGCGCTGTTTCACAATGCCGTCTGCCACGTCATCAGTTCCTTCCCTTTGCGTCCAGTCCTTTGTATAATCCAAATATAATCACTTTGCTCTTCTCTGGTCGTCCCTGCTGGCTGGCCGCGGAGTTTCTAGGCCTGTTCCGCGCCCGTGTTAGACCGGTGTTGGGGCGTTGTGTTGCTCTGAGCTCTGCGCGCGGAGCGGGGGGGACAGAGGCGGCAGGAACAGGAGAGCGGGAGCGAAGATGGCAGCGAAGGCAAGGAGCAGCCTTTGACAGGAAAACAAACAACGCACAAAAGAACGATCCACAGCGACGGGCCTGAAAATGTAGGAAAACAACAAAACATGAAACACGCTATCAAAAGCGCTGCGCTGTTTTAGAGTTTTCAGCTTGTCTAGAGCTGTTTAGAAGAACCAAGCCGTTCAGCAAAGAGCGTGCTGTGCCTTTGCAACGTCGAAGGGGGACGTTCAGCCAGGACCTTCCGACGGAATCGACCCGGCGGCGCCGCGCTCATGGCGACGAGACTCATGGGACGCGGGGTGCCTTCTGAGACAAGCCCATGTGAAGGGCAACGGTACGGGCGGGCTGGTATGGGGGGGATGCTTCGACCTGGAATCGGTGATACATCGCTGATAGATCGGCGATGGGGCCCCGATTCTGAGTCCGCACCTTCCTGGGCACAGATCAGGGCTATCGGAGCCCCTATTGGCGATCACTGGGCGATTGGGGGTCGATGCATCCCCCCCTCTGCCTATCCCCCCCCCCCTGTCGTTGCCCCTGACCACGAGTCAAGAGGACGCGCCCACCGTGAGACACCCGCGCCGATCCCGGCCAGGCACTCCCTCGCCGGGCCGACCCCGGCTTGGCCAGGAGGGCCTAGACATGCCGCAGGAGCTCGGCCACGAGAAGCCTGCCGCAGGAAGCCCAACCCCGAGACCCCAGGACGTCCACTAACTTATAACGTAAGCACGAGCAAAATTAATATCCAGATCCAGTGCGTCATGAACTTTCTTGGAAGGGGCGCCACAAGGCCGAGGCGCCCTGGGTGTGGATACAATCGAGCCCCTGGGGGACAACTTTATCCATATCCAGTGCGCATCGGATTTCTGGGGAAGGGAGCCCGAGACTCCATACTGCAGTGGATCTGGACAGAAGTATTGCCCGCAGTGGGAACGTCGCGCTTCCCATAGCAAAGCCATCGTAACCCGAGAAGCCCAGGGCTTCCCCAGAGGCAGGCAGGGTACTCCTTGGCATGGCATGCCACTGTATATTTTGTTGTTGCGTCGGCAGCTTGGCAGAGGGCAACTGCCCCGGCGATCTGGCAACAGGGGCCCACCGTATGCAAATTCATGCCGCGATGCACGAGGTAGAGGAGGAGGAGGAGGAGGAGGAGGAGGAGGAGGAGGAGAGGGAGGAGGAGGATCTTTTTCCAGTGCGCCGCTGCCAACCAAACTCTAGAGTGCAGGAGAGGAGGAGGAGGAGGAGGAGGAGGAGGAGGAGGAGGAGGAGGAGGAGAGGAGGAGGAGGGAGGAGGAGGAGGAGGAGGAGGAGGAGGAGGAGGAGGAGGAGGAGGAGGAGGAGGAAGAGGAGGGGAGGAGGCCCCGGCGCGACGGGGCGAGGAGAAGCCAGGCCCGCTCGGGCAAATCACCGGCTGCGGCGAGGGGCGAAACGCCGCGGGGGGGGGGGGGGGGGGCAGCGGGCCCAGGGAGTAGCGGTACAGAGGAGACCCAAGCCAAAAAGCACTCTGCTTGCCTGCGGGGTGCAGGACAGGCCGTGGGTGCAGACTTGGCGCCCTCCGACCCCCCGCACTGCCCCCTCTTTTCTGCACGCCGCCGGCGGGGTGGTTCCCGGGGACACCCGGAACACCCCGTGGGCT